GATGCCCCCTACTCTTCTCTTCTCTGAAGGGCTAGGGGAGCAGAACTGTAGATCTTTGTTCCTGGTGGCCAAGAGAACAAGGTGAGGACTGGGGCAGGAAGGGAGGCAAGAAAAAGGATGGTTCAGGCTCCCTGTTTGAAGCACAGGAAGTGGCAAGGAGATGATAATCCCCTTTGTGCTGCTTCCCCTTCCTCCTCCGAGCTCCTAAAACTCCTTGAATAGACCATATACTAGCAGAGATACTCAGTCCACAGTGGTTCAGAAGCAAAATTAGCCATCTACATTATCCCAAAAGGCCACAGTATAGTAAATGAAACAATCATTTCACTCTAGTATTACTCCGATTTAAAACCAACGAGCAGTCCTGTGGCACTTTAGAGACTAACAAATGCATTAGGTCATGAGTGATTAGGTGATTCCTCAGTTTATATGACAGGAAATACCTGGTTTTAGAGCTATATTTTTATATAATTTTATTCCCAAAGCAAGTTGATAACATAATTGGTTAATTGCTTAGTAAAACAATCTTGATTGGTTAAAACACGGTGTGATTTAATTATTCATATCATGTGCTGCAAAGAGTACCAGGAGACACATTGAAGAGTCACTTGCAAGCCACATTGTGAATATCACTGCCTTATAGGAGGGAACTGTGCAAGCACAGAGAACCTGGGGGCAGCATTGCTAAGGGGCAGCCCCTATCCCCCGTCTTGCTTGTCTCCTTACTTGCAGGAGACATAGCAAGTGGGCAAACTTTGCCTTGTCCTCTCCCAGCCTGACTCTTGCTGTTTTCATGTTTGGTCTGTTGAACTTCAACTTTGCTGTGCTACTTTGAGCTCAGCTGATGTGCCATTTACCATTATTACTGAGTCACTTAACCAGGTCCTGGGCACTAGATCTAAACCAGCTGAGTCCAGCAAGCTAGGTTTTCTCTTCTTTCCTTTTTCTGGCTACAGAGAGGTGAAATAGTTAGATTCTTATTCATCTTCAACTCTGAATGTATCAACTTACATTTGTGAGAATACTTCTACGCATTTCAGATGTAACCTGCCAAAATTGGTCTTACAATGGAAACTCAATTTAAACTTAAACTCTGGCATGCCCACTTCTGCATAATATAAACATTCAGAATCCAGTTGCACCAGTGTAACTATTTTAATTACTACATTACTGTCCATTGGATTTCATTATATCCCCTTTTACTGTTAACAAGTTGTTACTGCTTAATGTGATCACATACTTCACACTTTGAAACGATGACAAGTTAAATGTCAGTTTATGGAAAAATTCAGCTTTCCAGCCTGCACTCTTCTAATTAGGAATATCAGCGGTCAAATCAGTGACATATAAATAAAAGCATTGTAAATTCATTTTTTCATAGCACATCCTATATTTGGAGAAATATCATTTTAATTTTATTAAGCTTAAAATAGTTTGACAGGGCCCATAAAAACTGCAAAGGAGATGCAGCTCTACTAAAACAACATTTTAAAAAAACCCAATAAAAGGCACTTAATGCGACTCTGCATGTGCTCCTGTGAGATCCCAAAGAGACGTCTTAGACCGGGTGTGTCTAGACTACAGGGTTTTTTCGAAAAAAGTGGCCTTTTTTTGAAAAAACTTCCCCTGTGTCTAGACTGCTGCCACGCTCTTTCGAAATTAAATTGAAAGAACGCAGCTGTTTTTTTCAACCACGGCAAGCCTCATTTTATGAGGAAGAATGCCTTTTTTCAAAAGTGCTCTTTTGAAAAAAGGAATTCTTGAATGCAGACGGCTTTTTCGAAAGAGAGCGTCCAGACTGCCTGGGTGTACTCTTTCAAAAAAGTGGCTCACTTTTTCGAACGAAATGGTTGCTGTCTAGATGTTCTTTCAAAAGATCCTTTTGAAAAAGCCTCTTTCGAAAGAGACTTGTAGTCTAGATGTACCCATAGTGTATGTTAGGGATGTGAAGGACTAGTCGACTATCCGATAAGCAAATGCTTATTGGATAGTCAATATGCTAATCAACTAATTGCTCCCTCCCCCCCACACCCCCTTGCTGCCTCTATCAGAAAGAGGCAGCAAGGTTGGGGGGAAAAGGAGGGTGTACTTTAAAGCAGCAGCGCCGCATTGTGCCCAGGGTCAGTTGAGGACTCCCCCACTGACTCCAAGCTTCCATTCAGTGCTGCTGCTTTGAAGCGCTGCAGGGAGCCCAGCATCAGGCTGCACGTAGTGTTTCAAAGAGGCAGTGCTGCGTGGAGCCCAGGATCAGCTGGAGTTTTGAGCTAATCCCAGTCTCCGCACGTGCTTTTGCCTTTGAAGGCAGAAATCACACTTCAAAGGAAGAATTGCCCTATTGACTTCACTAATCGAATAGTCAATGCCAAATGCAGCAACTATTCAATTAGTCAATATTTAATATCCTAAGTGTATGTAGCTGAGCACCTCTTGCCAGAGTCCAGGTGCTTTCAGCTCTCCTTGGGCTTCATCCTGCTCCCGTTGAAGTCAGTGACCAAATTCTGGTTGATTTCAATACAAGTAGAATTGAACACATGGACTTCAGTGGGAGCTGAGGATGCTCAGCTGTATTGGATCATTATGACAACAAAGTTAATGTAAGTATAAATGAAGTCAAATTCAATTCTTATGCAATTAATATATTGTCTTTAGCTTATAAAGTCTTTGGGGCAGGAACTGTCCTTTACTAAGTTTAAGTGCCTAGCACAATGGCTTACTCACGGCTCATAGGCACTACATCACTATCAATAAGGTAGTGTAGCAAAGCCTATAGTAATAGTGATATGCAAAAATAGAATATGATTGTATTTTAATGTGACTATATAAGGGGGCAGAGACTTCATTGTGTGTGCACCAATTTTGTCATCTCCTGACGTTTGAACACGTAACTATGCAACTCTTAATTTTCTCAAAATGTATTGTATGGAATGTATAATTCCATGCTCACCCTGGTCACTGCTAGCACCATATTCCTTTTCTGTTCTTCCTGATGCTTCATGAAGCATTGCACAGTGATCTGCTTTGTACAGTGCTGATTTCAAGTTGCCTTACCCAGTTTCTCATTTTGTGGACTGTTTACTCATTGGTACAACTGATGCTTCAAGGCAAAACACTGCAAAATGTAATCATGACTAGTATTATGTTGCTCTCCTGGGGAAGGCAGAAATATTTATTTCAATTTTGGGGGGGCATGTGTTGCAGACTTACTCTAGCTTATTTCCCTGTTGCCCTGTAAAGTTTTGCCTTGCACAGCGTGGCTGAGTTTGTGTTTAATATGCAGTCATTTTCATTACAGGAAGAAAATGCACTGTAGCAAAAACAGTACTGAATGCTGAGCTGGCTTCAGTGTACTATTTGTGCTTCTGTGTGTTTGTGTATGCCATAATAACCAATAGATACCTTGACTTGTGAGCTGACTGAAAAGTCAAATAAACTGGCAGGGTGTAGTGCAGGCAAAGCTTGGAAAGAATGCATGCTCACCCCAACCTCATTAATATGGTCTCCCAAATGGTTCAGAGAGCTAAGCTTTAAGGGGCAATCTTGCTTTTTTTTAGAGGGACTGGGTTTTTTCAACTTGTAATACATGGGAGTTGGGTGGTATGCTGTATTCTCTACACTGGAAGGCATGGCTCTGGAGATACATGGAGGAGCCATCCCAGCAATCAGAGTTGGAAAGATGTTATTGGGATCAGCCTTTTCCACCCACTTTGACCAACCTCGGACACTGTTGGAGGAAGGGATGTGAATTGGAGCCTTCATTGCTTTTTGTCTCATAGCTTGGCCACAAGGCCTTCAAGTAACTTCTTTGCTCTTTGAAATGTAGCTAATAAAAAGTTCTTGTCTAAACCTGGACATTTTGTCAGTTTATCTAAACTTGTTTGTAAAATTTATTGATGGAAGCCAGACTGACAGTTGTAAATTGATACATCTGTACCTCTATTTAACTGACTTTTAAACTGATTTTGGTGAAACCAATGCAACCTCTGTGTGCAAACCAGGCCCCAGATATGATGATGTTTGGTGTGTTAAGTGCTTCTCTAAGTAGGACTCTTCTCAAGTGTGCAGTCTTTCCCAGTAGTAAACAATATACTTAAGTTTGCAACTCACCTTTGCCTACCTCTGATTTTTGTGTTTTGCCTATAACTTTTCTGATTCTTTGCTCTTGAGCCCAAACTTTCTGTGTTTGGGGACTCTGCTCCCTTTCTAGTTTCAGAATTTTCCAAAATCCTGTTAAGCCGTATTTAGGATTCAGTCTCTCACAGACTTGAGGAGGAACAGGGAAACGTAGGGCAAGTCCTCTGCTCTTTTTTTAAAAACAATTGTAGTTAATTATGTAAAATATGCAACTTCTAACATTCCAATATTAGTAATGACTGATTTAGACAAATAGGTAGAGTATAGGTGAGAAGGCTTCAGGTGGAGGAAAATATATCCTGGATTTTTTCCCCCTACATGTTTATTCATGTGGTGGGGGGGACTGTCGTGGTTTTGCAACCAAATCTCCTTATGGCCTGATCCCAGCTGATCTAGCAAGCAAAGCCAAATGAGACTATGATACTACTTGAATAGATCTTCAAGGTAAACCCACAGTGTCGTGAGAAGTGGCATTGATCTAATAGGCTGCCATTTTCATTTTGAGTTGCTGATGCTGAACCACTTTGATCTAAAATGGCACTTCCGGTAGCAAAGTAAAACTGAGGCCCTGATCCCTTTGCAGCTATGTTTGAATAAATTCCACTGTCCGTGATGTTCTGGCCACATCTAACTTGATATCACAAGTTCCCCTCTCGTGGTTTCTCTGCGTATCTACCAGTATAATGTTCTTTACATCCTAGCCTAAGCAGTTTATGTAACACTATGGGCTGCTAAATAGCAACCTGTATGCTACGCCAGCAATAGGTGAAGTGTTCTAAGACTGTGTCTACTAATTAGCGAAGTATTTGGAAAATCTGCTGGGTTGAAAGGTGCTACATAAATGCTTATTATTTCCTTCCCTCTTTCAGACTATACACTAACAGTGGAGGCTGTGAAACTGAAGCCATTCTTCGTGGCAGGTCACACCTTTGAGATGACATGCAAGGTATCTTCCCAAAACATCAAGACACCACGTTACTCTGTTCTCATTACAGCAGAGAAGTCGCTGACAGGCCAATCAAACCTTAATGGGACCACTCGCATAATCTCCTTGAACCAAGATTCGGTGGTAAGACTAGAAGACTGGACAGACCAGGCCCGAGTGGATGGTGTGGTCCTGGAGAAAGTTCGGGAGAATGAGTTCCGCTATAGGATGTACCAGACACAGATATCTGACGCTGGTCTGTACCGCTGTGTGGTGACCGCTTGGTCCCCTGGTGGCGGTGGCATGTGGCGAGAGGCAGTGAATGGCTTCTCCAATCCCATCCAGATAGACTTCCATACCTCAGGTGAGTACAGAATTAAGTGTGTACATGTAAGTGCTTTGGGGGTGGGGAAGCTGAGTGCTGTACAGTGTTTGTGCCAGTGTCCCCAATCTTAGAGGTCATTGCTGCTATTCCTTTGCTCAGTCTGAGACCGTCTCCACACTGAGATGGGTACTTTGCTAGAATGTTGCATATCTATACTTCACTGGCACTACTTTGCTGTTCACTGTGTCTGTCTGTATCTTGGAATACTTTACATTAACTGGCTCTAACCTTGGAGCTCTGGCACGCATTTCTTCCTTCACTAGATTTTAAGGTCTCTTATGGTATGACCTATCTCTGAGCGCAGAATGGCTACTGTGCTTGCCAGCTCAGTCCCTATATTGCTGGTATATAATGATTGCTTTGGGAGAGCTTTAACACTAAAAAGCCATGGAGAATCCTATTTTTGTTCTAAAGCAAACTTAATTAGTTTGGAGTAAAATTGCCCAAGTGCATTTCCAATCAATATAATTGCAAAAAATCCAGGAAATTGCCAGTTAAGTCAACGTTAACATTGCAGTAGCCTCTGCTTGCATGCCCCACTACCCAAACATCTTAAAACCCAATCATACTTGGACTCCAGAGAGTGACATCGTATTTTGAATTTCGGCAAAAGCACAGTTGCATGCCTCTGTGTCTCAGAATTGCTCTCACTCTTCAGCTGCACTATCAACAAGATGAAGCAGTTTCCTATAGACAGATGTTGCCTGTAGATGGGTATGATGTCCAAATGTGTGTATGACTGTGGCTGAAGCATCAGGTAGGTGCGTGTCAGATTTATTATATGTTGCATTCAGTAACATTTTTATGGTGCTGAGGAGTCTGGGAGGGTATAGAATGGCTATACAAGAGCTGAAGCTGCTCTGGATGGTAATGTTAGTTTAACTCATGATTTCTTGGATTTTTAGTGATTACGTATTTTCACATTCCTCAAGAGCATTTCCATCAAAGTTAACAGCTCCATGGGCAAATGGACCCTGGTTTTTTTAATGCATCAATGCAGTTGGCAACTTCATTTTTATCTATTCCTGTTCCCCACATGCTTCTTCCCCTTGTGCTTTCTCACTCTCTCTGTGACTCCATGCACAGCTTAGTCACATTATGTACAAGAGATGTTAAAATGGTTAACTGGTTATATGGTAGCACTTAAGTGGTTAACCAGTTTAACTTGGGTCCTGCTGCCTCACCGCGGCCATGTGGTCCTGTTGCCCAGCCTACCCGCCCCACCACAGCTGCCACTGCCAAAGTTAACAGGCAAGGGTCAGTAAGCTGGTGCGTGTACCAGTAAGCCTGATGCTTACCGCTTATAACTGGTTAACTTCTCTATTATGTACATGGTATCTGAAGCTTTGGCAGGGAGAGAAGTTCTAGATTTGGTGAGAGGACAGAGGTTTGCAGAAACTAGGGTCTGTTAATTTACAGTTGCACAAATAGTAATGAAATGATCATCGACCAGTCATTGCATTGAAACATCATCTCACAACTACCGGGGGGCCAGGACCACAGGCTAAGCCTTAGGTAGTGATTATAAAGTAACACCCATCCACTGCAGTGGTGCAGGGCGCTCATGCTATCATAAACTAGCCCTGCTGAAACTGCACCTGACCTTAAAGAACCTGGACAATGTGGAGAACTGAACTTCCAGATGAATTTCACTATTCAGCTTTACTCATCACTTCCTCTTCTCTTTTTACTTATAACCCTAAAACAATCATTCTAAAATGGTACATTCCCTGTGCTCTAAGGATGTTACGTCCTGATTAATCAGTCAGCTGGTTAAACATTAGGTTAACCTAACGTTTAACTGAATGAGTGGGATCCTGGGCAGGGGATCACTCCAGCCCAGCTTGAACAGCCTCCAGCCTGCAGGGCTCCCCCACACAGCCACACGTGAGGCTGGCTGCAAGCTCCCAGCCTTGCTTCAAGGCCCTCCCCCTTTCAAAAGAGAGTCTTACTTCCCTTTTCAGTCCTTCCAAAAGAGAAGAAAAGGCTGTTTCCTAAAATAAGTCTGGCTAATAGCAAAGGCTGATCTAAAATGTTCACATTCACAGTTCACTTTTCATGGCACGTGACCAAATTTCACAATTTCATTCTGGTTGTAATATCATCTGCATTGGCTTTCCCAGTCCCGCCCGAGTGGTAGCTTTTCTAATAGCTCTCTTGCATCTCGACCTGCTACTACACCTCCCGACTGAGCTATTAACTGACATTTTAAACTCCTGTTTGTCTGTAGGTTATCTGGGAGCTTGTCTTGAGCTGTCTTAATACAGTTGGGATGGGAAATGCTGATGCTGCCAGGCTGAAGCATCTCTGGAGAAAAAGGAACTTGTCAAGCTCAATTATCTTCAGAAACGGGGGCACATGGGAGAATGCATACCACACTTCCCCTTCCTCTAGTCCCATTCCTACCACTTTTCCTTTTTGTTCTGTGCCAGGATTCAGACAGACAAGTGAAATTTAGGAGAATGATTACAGGCAGATACAATGCATCTGGCCTTCTGGGGAAGTGAATGTCTATGGTTGGGTTTACATGGAAGATGGATTAAAATACAACTTAAATTCAGGACACAGTTTGCATTGATGTCATAGTTACACAGATAAATAGCAAAAGTAGGGAGAAATTAAAAAGCATAGAAATGTTTCCACTAAGATTTGAAGATACCCCACCAGTCTGAGACAGAAGGTGCCCAATAATGGTAAAAGTGTTTGTGATTTAATTTATCCTTGTATCTCTTCCATGTCATACAGAAGGTGGTACCCTTGTTTTTAATGAGAAAATGCACAGAGGCAGGATGCTGCAGCAATTTTGAGAGGGGTAGGGGTGCAGAGAGCCATTGAACTATAAACATGTACAGGTTGGAACTCCCTGAACTGAGTGGAGGCCTGGCAGGGGAACTCTGACTTGCTCCTAATGGTGTTTCCATCTTCAGTAATAGCACTGCCTCACCACCTGGAATTCCTCTCCATATTTAGAATGGTCACTGCAGACCAGTAAGATATTTTAACTTCTGCTGATGCATTAGGTTACTTTTCTAAACAACTAGCACCTGTAGTGTTCCAATCTCCTGCAATTTGACAAGTGCAAACTATAACAGTATCTGGAGTCCACACACTGGGGGGGAGATCGCAGGAGGTGTGGGGGTGGGATCAATAAGAAAATAGAGGAACTCTCTCAGCAAAGGAACAGTCCTTAATGAGTTTACATGAAAGCTTTTAGTGCTTGTCGGAATATCTTTCTGTGTCTATTGATTTTTGTTTGGTGCCTGGGGACTTGTTGGATAGGAAGTCCTTTGCTCAAACCTGGCTTCCTCCCAGATCTGTTTTGTCTGAGCTTGGGTGTGTTTCCAGGAAAGCTTTTTTTTATTGTGCATACACCTTGTGAAATGTGACCTGTTTGAACTGCAGGGGACCTGTAAGATTTTTATATACAAGCTGGAGACTGCGCACACAAACTCCAGTATTTCCCACAAGAATAATCTTGAAATGTGGCATTGTTCTGAAAGGTTTTTCCATGAATATCTGTGAGGAAAAGGTCACCCTCCAGATTCTTTCTAGTGGTAGCAGGACTTGCTGGCTGCGTGCAGAGGACACCTCATCCTTGTTTCTTTGCTTAGCACTGTATAATGGTAAATTTACTCCAGTAAATTCATAATCTGAAGCTTAAAGTAAAATCCTCCTTGAAATTTCATTAATTGAAAGATATGATCTAATTTATGTAATTCTGAAATATAGATTGTAAGTAGGGGCAGGGAAACTTCAAGGTATAGTCTGTGTATTCATAAGAACATAAGAATGGCCATACTTGGTCAGACCAAAGATCCATCGAGGCCAGTATCCTGCCTGCTGACCGTGGCCGATGCCAGATGCTGCAGAGGGAGTGAACACAACAGGTAATCATCATGTGATCCCTCTTCTGTCATCCATTTCCAGACAGAGTCTGGGGACAGCATTCCTACCCATCCTGGATAATAGCCATTGATGGACCTAACCCCCATAAATTTATCTAGCTCTTTTTTGAACTCTGTTAAACAAAGTCCTAGTCTTCACAACATCCTCTGGCAAGGAGTTCCACAAGTTGACTGTGTGCTGCATGAAGAAAAACATACTTCTGTTTGTTTTAAACTTGCTGCCTATTAATTTTATTTGGTGACCCCCTAGTTCTTATATTATGGGAACAAGTAAATAACTTTTCCTTATTCACTTTTTCCACACCAGTCATGATTTTATAGACCTCTATCATATCCCCCCCTTAGTCTCCTCTTTTCTAAGCTGAAAAGACCCAGTCTTTTTAATATCCCTTCATATGGGACCCATTCCAAGCTCCTAATAATTTTTGTTGCCCTTTTCTGAACCTTTTCCAATACCAATAAATCTTTTTTGAGATGAGATGGTCACATCCATATGCAATATTCAAGATGTGGGCGTACCGTGGTTTTATATAGAGGCAATAAGACATTCTCTGTCTTATTCTCTATCCCTTTTTTAATGATTCCTAACATTCTATTTGCTTTTTTGACGGCCGCTGCACACTGAGGGGTGAACTATCCACAATGATGCCAAGATCTTTCTCTTGAGTAGTTGTAGGCAAATTAGTCTCTGTCGTATTGTATGTATAATTGACAAAACTACAGGCAACCCCCACATTTACGACCTAATTGGTTCCTGGAGAACTGTCGTAAGTCAAGCCGTCATAAGTCAAACCCTTATTTCCCATAGGTGCAATGTTATAAATGGCAGTTCCATTCCTGGAAACCCATTTCATACCCTAAAAATACCAAAATTGACTACGGAAATGGAGGAAAACTAAACTAAATAGTTCAAATAATGCATAAAAATAACTAAAAAGTGAAGATCAATGTGGTGGAGCCGTGTGCTATTCTAGAAGCAGCTGCAGACTGGTGAGTCTGACTGACCATGTGCATTTCCTGTTTTGGGATGACGCATGGAATCTGCGTCGAACGCTGTTGTACACGTGAGCTGTG